GTGTGTGTGTGTGTGTGTGTGTGTGTGTGTGTGTGTGTGGTGGGTGGGAGGGGAGCAGGGGGAGGGGGCGTTCCTCTTTAGACTTGCCAGAGGATGAGAAAGGGTGTTTGGTGTTGCTAAGCAAAGACAGTGACTTGGACAGTGGAAGCTACTGGTGACATCTTGATTAGGCCTTAGGGACAGCTGAAGAGCTGCCTGGGGTGAAATGCTGAGACAGGCCTGGGTGGGATTGGGGAATAGAGAGAATCAAGGTGGAGAAGAGGAGCTTTGGCAGCCTTAGCCTAAGCTTGGAACAGGGATGTAAGGGGCCTTAGCCTCCTACCCACAATAGAGCTGGAGATGGGCGGCTTTCTTTGCTCCTGTGCCCACTGATCTCGGCTAGCAGGCTAGCATCCTGCCACTCAGAAACCCATAGTCAAGAAAGGAAAAGCAGTCACGGTGAGGTTTCTTGCAGAGAACTGTGGAGATTTAGGGCTTTCTCTGACCTCATGGCTATTCCCTAAAGGTAGCTACTCTTTGAAAGGATCAAGGAAAGAGAGCAAGAAAGGAAGGCTAGTCTCCTTCTATATGTAAAACACATTTAGCTTGTTAGCTATTTTCCCAGCTCCTTTCTCACCCTCTTGCTTTTCTGCCCTTTACCCACCTCCTACTCCCCTGATATGAACCTCATGATTTGGCTTTGCTCTCTGCGGGTTCAGCCAATCTATGATGACTTTGAACAAGAAAATTTCTCAGACCTGACGGCAACCTTAATTCTTGGCTTTGACAGTCTGGGATTTCTTGGGAGTCCTCAGCATTTAAAATTCCCTCACTGAGGTTTCTAAGGCTGAGAGAGGAACTGCTGAACTTCTTAAATCTGATTTTAGTCTCTTTCACCTGTCTAGAACATAAAATCCTTGGAGCCCCAAAGAAATTTCTGACTCCTGGAACGGATTCATTTTTATGTATTAGCCCCATAAAAATGAGATGTGCCTGCTTCCCCTCTTACCTTTATCCTAGAGAGAGTAACAGCATCAAAGAGCCATTTGAAATCTTGAAGAGCTTGCTCTTCTTCCAATTTTGAGGCCTTAAGGAGAGAGCTTTTAATTATTTTTCATAGCCCCTGGTCCCAAGAGGGAACCTTATCTAGAAGTCCTATACCAACTAGTTTTTAGCAAAGAGTTGTCAGTTCCAGGGCCCAGAACTCTGTACTTCTCCCATGACTGACATCAAGTGATTTAGGGTAAGTCAGCACTTACATTTGAAAACTCATGTGAAGATAACTTTTCAACCCTTCAAACTTTAGTAAACCCTACATTTAGTTGAAGTCAGATTTTAAAACTCAGCCTGAATTTGTAAGTCTAACCCACAATTTTGAGAGGCTCACTAATACAATGTATGTGTGGTTCTGATTTCAGGCAACTTTGTCTTCTTTTTTTAAATACAGTTCACCCAAGAGCCCTGGTTGGGAAACTGAGACTTAAGCCCCCTGGCTTTTTCTGTCAATATTAAGCAAATTTTCTCAGAATTTCAAGGGTTAAGATGGGGGAAAATGGGACTTTTAGGAGAGGATATGAATGAGAAATGGTCCCAAAGTCCTGAGTGGTTGTTTTCTTCCCACTGACCAAAGCTGGAGAGGGATCCCTCAGGAGGGTGTGTTCCGGATTTCTTGCCTCAGGCCCAAGACTCCAACCATTTTATAATGGAATCTTTATTTTGTGAAAGTAAGTATATACATAGCTGGGCAATTGTGTAAATTAATAGTAGGTGGACTTTAGGGATGGATTTTAGGATTTGTCTCTCTAGTCCATAATTAGGCCTGTGTGCACACATTCATGCATGTTCATGTTAGAGATAATGTGTAAGGCTGTATGTGTATTTTATTACTTATGCTTTTTTAAGTTGATCCATATATGTGATATGTGTCTGTGTGTTTATCTACTTGTGTTTTTATCACCTGTATATTTGTGCACACAATTGTCATGGGGAGGGATTTTTTTTTTAAAAGACATAATTCATATCTTTAGGTATGTCATCTGATTTTTAAAAACATACATGAAACTCTCAAAATGCACTTTCCCAAAGCAGGTTAGCAATAAATTAAAGTTAAAATACTGAGAATAAACAGATTATGTAACTGTCAAGGGAACACCAAGAAGTAAATACTTACTCAGAATCAGGACAGATAGTAGACTTTCTAGAGATGTCAACTTTTTGTTGCATTTAGAAAGTCTTCATGGGTCCACCTCTTCCCATCATTGAAGCAGTGATTCCCAATTGGCTGTATAAGGGATGGTTAGGAATAAGAGATGTTTAGTATCTGTAGTCAGACCCAGTTCTACCACTGCCAGCAATGTGACCCCTTATCCAAGTACACATAACCTATTTTGTGCCTTAGTTTTCTCATTTTCAGAATTAATCTACTTTACAGTTATTTTAAAGATTAAAAAATTCCTTTAAAACACATAAAATAATGCCTGGCAAGTTATTCAATTAATGTTAGCTACTATCATTATTATTACTATTATTATCATTAGATTCAGGGACAATTCCAGCTGCCCTTCCTGCAGATACTGAACCTGGTGTTGGGGGCTCCGGAGTGGAACAGTAGGGAAGAACGTCTGTCCTGAGTCGCCTCCCTCCTAAGGCCCCCATTTTCCTCTCTGCCCTGGCCCGCCCAGTCCCAGCCCTGCTTCCTGTGGACGTCAGGCAGTGATGCTCTTCCCCTCAGACCTAGATAAAGGTAGGGTGGGCAAGGCCCAGCCACCAAGCTCACGGAAGTCAGCATCGGGCACCCAGGCGAGCAGGGGCACAAGGTATGGTGTTGCCAATGGTACTGCCTTGTATGTGGCTATGAAATTAATGTTTGTAAAATTTAACTGAAGTTTTTAAAGATGGAGCAGTAGCCAGGACATGGCTCTAGCTTCAGCTTCAACTGCTGTCTTGTGCTTCCCTCCAAGGTAGCGGGGACTCATCTCTGGAGAAGGAGTTCCTCGGGGCCCCAGTGGGGCCCTCAGTAAGCACTCCCAACAGCCAGCACTCTTCTCCCAGTCGCTCACTCAGTGGTAAGTGTGCTTTTCTATCTCTGGGCACCCCATTTATTTTCAGCCCTTCATTCACGACCCATTGGCAACCATTTTCCCATCACTGACGCAATCTGGTTTCCCGCTCGGTCTTTAAATCACTAAGGAGCTCAGTGTCCAAGTTTTACCTGGGTTCTAAAAGAAGAGTCACTGCTAGATTAGGATGGAATTAAAAGAGGCATGTGTAGGAATAAGGTAAAGGCTCTAGAATTGGAGAAGCAGGTAGATAGAAATAGTCACTAGCTAAAGCCAGACAGGAAATAGAGAGAAGGACCTTTCCTCCTTCCCTGCTCCCCCTTTCTCCTGCCAAGACCGGGTCCCTATGACTGCCCCTCCCCAGCTGGCTCTAGATCTGTGGCATTCTCTAAATGGTTGGAATAGCCAAGAATGTAGGTCAGAACTATAGCCAAAGCCTGTTCCCCAGTGGCTCCTCCTTCCTTCACTCCCCCCATTCCAGAATTATATGGAGGGAGGATGTAGGGGTTCAGTTTTCTGGGGTGGGAGCATAATGTGAGCCATGTCTGTCTTCTAGTTTTTCCTCTCTTTTAGACTGCTATCCCTTCAGTCTTACTGGGACTATTTTCCCGCCACTGTTTCTTGCTGGCTTCCTGCCCAGGGCTAAGTCAGACATGTTTCTTAATGGCAAAAAAATAGAGGAAAAGGCTCCCTCAGCCTCCTTCTCTCCCCAGTGACCGAAGGCATCCTATGTACCACAACTTGTTTCTCTTGAAGCCTATTTGCCTAATGAGTGAGAGATAAAGAAAAGGTGCTTTAAGTCCCAGCAGGACCCTAATTATGCCTACTTGGAATACTAGTATCTGGGCTCATTTTAGAAGGAAGCCCAGGTAATGTAGTGGTAAAAGAAGCCCAAGTAGTGTAGTGGTAAAATGTTGGGATGCCAACCTAAAGGTCAGTAGTTCAAATCCACCAGTTGTTCTATGGGAGAAAGGTAAGAAATCTCCTTCTATAAAAATTTACAGCCCCATAAATTCAGTGGAAGGGTGCTATGAGCCAAACTCAACTTGATAGTAGTGGCCTGGGTGACCTGACTCATTTGAAGGCCTAAATGTTTCATAGCCTGGAGACAGCTTCTTGGACTTCAAGAGTACCATTCTGGCCTGGAAACAGGTTCCCCTTTCTATCTATCTCTGTCTTAAAAACATCAATCCACCCTTCAGCCAACTCCATCAAGGTGGAGATGTACAGCGATGAGGAGTCCAGTAGACTGCTCGGGCCAGATGAGCGGCTCCTGGAGAAGGACGACAGTGTGATTGTGGAAGACTCATTGTCTGAGCCCCTGGGCTACTGTGATGGGAGTGGCCCAGAGCCTCACTCCCCTGGGGGCATCCGGCTGCCCAATGGCAAGCTCAAGTGTGATGTCTGTGGCATGGTCTGCATTGGACCCAACGTACTCATGGTGCACAAGCGCAGTCACACTGGTGAGTAAGCCTTAGGGGTTCAGGGCTGAAAGGCTGAGGCAGAGCTAGATGGAAGAGGCCACACTGGGAGTGGAGTGTCTTCAGGAAGGGAGGGGTCTCTCCCAGCATTTCTCTCTCAGTAGAATTTCTAGCTGAAAAAATAAAATGGGGTGAAACATGGACTCTCCTCCACACTTGTTCTTATTTGGCACTTTCCTCAATTGTTATAAGAAACTAAAAAGAATTTTTCTCCAACTTAGGGCAAGGGAAGGTGTTAAAACCTTCTTTAAAATTCTTCTTAAGAAGAATCTTTGGGCTCTCCCACCTCATGGGGTGTGGGATAGGGGAAGAAATGCAGATACCTCCTCCTCTCAGCTTCCTCTGGCTTTTGACTTCTAGAGCAGAGTAGGCTTTGGGGCTCAGTTTTTGGTAAGTCTTTTGGCCCTAGTAGTCCAGACCTGCCTCCCCTTCTCCATGCCACACCTTCTCAAGGGATCTTGTCCCCAAATGATTGTTATATAACAGGTTTTGTGTGTGATACAGCACTGCCCCTCAGAAATGTGTTCTGATCACCTTGGGGGTGGGGTGGGGCAGAGGGTGGCAGACTAGGCCAAATTTCCAAATTCCTCATATTCAGTCTTCTTTTACTTGCAGGTGAGAGGCCTTTCCACTGCAACCAGTGTGGTGCCTCCTTCACCCAAAAGGGGAATCTGCTGCGTCACATCAAGCTGCACTCTGGGGAGAAGCCCTTCAAATGTCCCTTCTGCAACTACGCCTGCCGCCGCCGTGATGCACTCACTGGCCATCTCCGTACCCATTCGGGTCAGTGACCAGTCCAGTGGGAGAGGAAAGAAGTGGGAAGGAAGTCAGAATAAAGCCAGTTAATAGAGGCTGGTACTTTACCTGTATCTGGAGAGTGACAGAGTCTGTCATTGAAGGGAAAGCACTTATCAAATGGGATCATCATGCCTATCTAACCCCTCTCTTGAGCAGCAGGACCCCACAGGGAATTAGGAGGACCCTTTGATAGGGTATTTTATGTCTGCCACACTCTGTGACATGGAGCAAAGGAGCATATACAATGGTCCTGCCTCATTACCATCACCTTTCCTGACTTTGCTTTTTAAAGTTCACAGCAGTGCGAGTCCTCAGTGTCACTTAACTCTCCTTTCTGAGCGCCAAGGAAACCTTTCTACTCCCAAATGTTTCAGGCCCACACCTGCTTCCATTTTTACCTCACTGATCTTAGTTCAGGCAACCAGTGTCTTTTCCTTTCCTTCATAGTGGTTTCTTGTAAATATCCATTCTCCTGTTCCTAAAACTGCATAAAAAGGACAAGACATTAAAATAAAAAAAGAGTGTCTACTTTCTGTTCTACATTCTAAGAGGGAAGAGTAAATCCAAAGTCAGGTAAGTTCAGAAGGTACCAGAAAGGTAGTATTTGGACTTATGCTAGTATAGTTCGATTAACAAGGTTTTCCAGTACAGCCAAGACTGTTCATCAGTATCTTCCTTTCTTTTTTTATCAGCACCTTTCTTATTCAGCTGGAGAGATAACACTTTTCAGGCATTTACTGATTTTAAGCTTTTGGCTCACCTGAAGATATTGGGAGCTAATCTGGTTTTAAAGTGGAGCCTTAAATTGGAAAAAGCAGGAGAAGGAGAGAAGGGAAGGAATTAGTAGAAGCTTTTCTTTCTTTCTTAGTATCGTTCTTCTAAACTTCGTGGGCCAGGACTTAAGGGACAGTGCAATCACTTCACCGTCTTCTACTTTCACCAGCTATTCACCTAGTTCAAAGTTATCTTAGTACTGAGAGACTACCGTTAATTAATGATTCATAAAATAAAAAAAAAACACTTCATTTGTGTATGGTCAAAACTAGAAGCTCTGGCGGCCCAGTCATAAAAAGTTGCACTACTCACCCACAGACAGGTGGCTCAAATCCACAATCTATCCCAAGGGAGAAAGAAGGGCAAGCTCTCATGCGACTTACAGGCTCTGAAAACCTGCTCATAGTTCGCTATGAGTCAGTTCTGACATAATGGCACATAGTAACAACAAAAACAACATACTCATAGCCACCCAAAGTAGATGTTATTATGTTATTATGCCCATTTTGCTGACAAAGAAATTAGCAATTTTTTTCCCTGGTCACCTGGATCCATCCAGGTCCAGTGCTAAAGAATGACGCTCTTTTTCCTCAGAAGAGAAGTGGCACTCCCTGCTAATTTAGAACAGGGATGGTTTACCCCTAAAATTCTTACTAACAAAAATGAAGTGAGCTGTGTTTGTTGTTCTGTGGAAGACTATTAGAAACAGAATCAAATACAGACATATTATTGGGTCTCATATACTTTAAGAAAAAAGAAATCATACTTCTCCTAAATGGGAAACTGTTTTCCCAAAAGTCTTGGGTGAACATCTCATCCCCAAAATTAGTGTTTACAGAGTAAGAGAAAAATGGCTGTAGGTTGAGTCCCTCAAGGTTCAGCCTAGCGTGTAGGGGGTTGTTGTTAAGTGTCATCTAGTCAAGTACGACCCATAGTGACCCTATGCACAACAGATCTGAACCCTGACCTAACCTATGCTGTTCTCATCATCTATGACACACTTGAGCCCCCTGCTACAGTCATTGTTTCAGTCACTCTCATCAAGGGTCTTCCTTTCTTTTTGCTGACTTTCCACCTTTCCAAGCATGATGTCCCTCTCCAAGGAACAGCTTCTGCTAGCAAAGTATGTGAGATGAAGTTTTGCCATCCTTGTCTCTAAGGAGCATTCTGGCTGCATTTTTCTCTAGGACATATTTGTTCTTTTGGCAGTCCATGAGATATTCCGGACTCTCCTCCTATACCACATTTCAAAAGCATCAATTATTCTTCTGCCATCCTTATTCAGTGTTCAGCTTTTAGATACATAGCAAGTGATTGAAAAGACTATGACCTGAATCCAGCACACCTTATTCTTCAAAATCATTGCTCCTCTGTAATTTGGAAAGGTCTCTGACAGCAGACTTGCCCAATACTATTTCCAGATTGCCAATTCCCTAGCAATACCTTCTGTCTCCCTGTACAATAGCAGCAAGAGATACATCAAACATATAAAATCTTATTTCTCTTACAGATATCATCTCTCAAGGATTAGCTTTAAAGGAAATAACAATTTCCGTTTTTCCTCAGCTTTTCATCAATAGAAATGACATCTCTAATATCAGTTCTTTATTAATGGGGGAGGGAGTAGCTCCTTGAAGGCTTTTCCTTTCTATTAATTTTTCTTCTTCTTTTCAGAGTTTCTCTATCAATGATGGTTTTTCTGGGAATCTCTTGGTACCTCAGTGTAGAAAGAAGTGTAGTGAGACAGGAAGATAAAATAACCAGTAAAAATCAGACTAGGGATGGAGGTAAAAGTGTAAGTAAAGGTCATTGAAAACTGCCACTCCCCACATCATCAGATCTAAGAGTTCTCACTTCTGTCACCCCCAGCTGGCCAATTTCTCCCCCAAACCAAAACAGATAGTTCTTGAGTAAAAAATCCCCTTGTCTGATAAACAAAAGTTACACCCATCTGCCACATGGAAAGGTTAAACCACAGCCTGTGCCCCAGACTCAGATATCCTGGGGTGGGGCCAGCCTGCCTGCCAGGGACGATCTCCTACCAAGACCTTGGGTCTTCACTTCCTTTAAGCAGCAATCTGGCTATCTTGAGGCCCACGACAAATCCAAAAATGCACTCCTTGGAATCTCTCTCTTCACATAGCTACACATTAGCCCTGTTCTTCTATTTGACTCATATTAACAACTGAAATTGGGGAAGGGAAAACAAACAGAAGGATTCAACTCAGCAACATTCCTTCTTTTCTCTATCAGTGTACATTTGCTTCTGGATGATTTTAGGGGCCAGGATTCAAATAGCAGAAACTCTGATACTATTTTTCTCCTCTCAACCCCTTAGTCTCCTCCCCAACAGTGGGCAAGCCCTACAAGTGTAACTACTGTGGTCGAAGCTACAAACAGCAAAGTACCCTGGAGGAGCACAAAGAGCGGTGCCACAACTACCTGCAGAGTCTCAGCACTGAAGCCCAAGCTCTGACTGGCCAACCAGGTGGGACTGTGGGCAGGACTATTGAGGAGCCGAGGACTGAGACAGAGAGAATGCACATAAGGATGATTTCAGCACCTCCTCTGCAAAAGGAGATAGTTATCTTCCAAGTACCTCACAGCAAACACCCTGTTGTTGTTATGTGCTGTCTAGTCACTTGCAATTCATAGTGACCCCCTAGCTGATGAAAGTCCTGCAGTAGGTGCTAGAAGGAGATCCATAAGTAGAAGATATGGTTTAGGTCTCTAACATTATTAAGGAAGAACACAAAGAATAAATCAATGGTCAAATGTATAAAACTGACCCCAAATTATCTTAAATGTTACTGGGATGAACTCTACATGGGGTAAAGTAAGCAGAGTCCAGTTTTCCAGGCACGGGGCATGACCATCCTTCACTGTGATCTTCTAGGCTGCTGGATTAGAGCTTCCCCAAATAGCTGCTCTAAGTCTGTGACCACCTCCTTCCCACTAGGTGACGAGATACGTGATCTGGAGATGGTGCCAGACTCCATGCTGCACTCAGCCTCTGAGCGGCCAACTTTCATTGATCGTCTTGCCAATAGCCTCACCAAACGCAAGCGTTCCACCCCCCAGAAGTTTGTAGGTAAGAGTCCTGTTGGAGAGGAAATAGAAACTGTAAACTACAATTCATCTAAATTCTGAGCTCTGGTATCCTTTAGACCAGCTGGGTCGGGAGATTTGGTTGAAGAATAAAGATTGATGGTCTCTGGTGCACAGTCTATCCCCAGAATAGGAGGGAAGTGAAATGGGAAGATGTGCTTTAAGAAAGTAGGAAGCACATCATTAAAGATGCTTTAGTGAAGTGGGAGGATGTGTTTTTAAGGCCCTGGGACTGGTGTGCCTGACTCTTCCACTTTGTGAGAATAGCAATCTGTGTGGACTGCAAGGACTTTTTTTCTTTTCATTTCTATATAATTTTCTTTTTTATATTTTATTTTTAATAATTTTAATGAACATTTACAGAGAATTTGGATTTCCATTCATTCATTGCTGCACTTCTCTCCCCACCCAGCCCTCTCCCCCCACACCCCAGTTCGCTCCTCTCTTTCAAAAGTAAAAGACTCCCTCCCCAGTACACAATCCCCCCACACCCCTCCCACCGCCCCAAGTACATTCCACTGTGCAACCTTAATTGTGGACTCTTGTGATAACCATAATACCCTATCATACATCGCTTTTAAATTATTCAGTCCCTCATCTGTTTCAGTGCAGTATACACAATTTATCCAGTTTTTCTCTGTCTTACCCCCACCCTGGTATCAGTCCCATTTTACAGCAGTGGCAGCATGAAATATTTGTCCTTTTGCGACTGAGATATTTCACTCAGCATAATGTCCTCCAGGCTCACCCATTTTTAATAATATTGAATGAGTTCCTTGTTTTTCAATGCAGCATAGTATTCCATTGTATGACTATACCACAGCTTCTCTACCCATTCGTTTGTTGATGGGCACCTGGGTTGTTTCCAACTCCTTGCTATTGTGAACAGAGCTGCGATAAACATGGGTGTGCATATGTCTGCTTGGATGTCAGTTATGGTCTCTTTGGGATATATTCCCAGTAGCGGAATTGCTGGGTCAAATGGTATCTCTATTTGCAACTTTTTGAGAAAGCGCCATACCGCCTTCCACAGTGGTTGCACCATTTTACATTCCCACCAACAGTGAATAAGGGTTCCAGTTTCTCCACAACCTCGCCAGCATTTGTTGCTTGCTGTTCTGTTATATTTCGCTATTCTGACTGGGGTGAGATGATATCTCATAGTTGTTTTGATGCAAGGACTTTTAAAGTCAGGAAAATAAATACATAATTCCTCCAACAGACCCTGTTCACTAGCTCTTTAAAGACCTAGAGATTTTTAGTCATGAAGGGATTACTAAAGATCAGTGGGTTGGAATTGAGTCCTCCTCAAAGATTGTAGTCTAGAGTCTAGGAATACAGAGGCCCACAGAGACCTTGACCTCTGAGGGAAGAAAATGAGGGGTAGCAAATACTGTTACATTCTGCCCCATGGGTAAAATATTATGTAATCCTAAGGGAAATTATCCAAATACAGTCCTACTGAGATTCACTCCTCCATAGGAGAAAAGCAGATGCGCTTCAGCCTCTCGGACCTCCCCTATGATGTGAACTCAGGTGGCTATGAGAAGGATGTGGAGTTGGTGGCACACCATGGCCTGGAACCTGGCTTTGGAGGTTCCCTGGCCTTTGTGGGTGCAGAGCATCTGCGTCCCCTTCGCCTTCCACCTACCAGTTGCATCTCAGAACTCACACCTGTCATCAGCTCTGTCTACACTCAGATGCAGCCCCTTCCTGGTCGATTGGAGCTCTCAGGGTCCCGAGAAGCAGGTGAGGGACCTGAAGACCTCAGCGATGGAGGCCCCCTCCTCTACCATGCTCGAGGTCCCCTGACTGACCCTGGGGCATCCCCCAGCAATGGCTGCCAGGACTCCACAGATACAGAAAGCAACCATGAAGATAGGGTTGGGGGGGTGGTATCCCTCCCTCAGGGTCCCCCACCCCAGCCACCTCCCACCATTGTGGTGGGGCGGCCCAGTCCTGCTTACGCCAAAGAGGACCCCAAGCCACAGGAGGGGTTACCACGGGGCACCCCAGGCCCCACCAAGGAAGTGCTTCGGGTGGTGGGTGAGAGTGGTGAACCTGTGAAAGTCTTCAAGTGTGAGCACTGCCGCATCCTCTTCCTGGACCATGTCATGTTCACTATCCACATGGGGTGCCATGGCTTCAGAGACCCTTTCGAGTGCAACATCTGTGGTTACCACAGCCAGGATAGGTATGAATTCTCTTCTCATATTGTCCGGGGGGAGCATAAGGTGGGCTAGTGACCTCCACACTTCTCTTCAGTCCACCACTGCCCTATCTACAGGTGTCTAGCTCTGTCCCCACTGCATCCCAAATTTTGCTTTTAGCCTCATCACCGACTACCTGACTTAACACATGACCCTGATCCCTCACCTCTTCTCCTCTACCCTGACTTATTTAAGCATTGTGTTGAAACAGGTCTTCTGCTAGCATATCCTAGTGAATATCCTAGCATATTCACTGAGTTATTTATTAATTAGTTGTGTTTAATTTTTGCCTTTTTTAAAAAACAAAACTGTCACCTGCTACTCTCTCACCCTTCCCACCAAGGTGCCCGACCAGTGCTCTTAGACCTGAATTTTCTCTTTCATAAGGCTTCCTCTAGTAGCTCCAAGGGTAGGAAGCACCTCTTAAGTATTAAGAGAACTTGAGCTTTCTCTTAATTCCTGATTCTTAGAGTTTTGATGTTCTTATCTGATTTTTCAGTTTTTATGTTGATAGTCATCTCTGGCCCTAATTTAGCTCCGTGGCATTATATCTCCTCTCTTGGACCCTTCAACCTGGCACTCCATACCTCGTGTGCCCTCTTACCTTGGCAGCTTGCACTGTTCTTGAACAAATAATTTCCTCATTTGGAAGTAGGAGGCGCTAAAGGAATTTTTTCCAGGCACATGGGACTGAAGGTCCTCTGATATTCTCCTAATAATATGAATTCCCAAAGTCCACATTCAGGATCTCCCTCTAGATGTGATGTATCTCTTCCCTATCTTTGAACAACCCTCACTACTCCTCTGGTCTCCTCAGCCTACCAGTCTTCTCAGTGGTGGTTTTCTCTCCTTGGAATGCCCCAATTTTATATTCTCAGGGGCCTAGGCTAGGTCTGCATCCCTCCGTGTCTCTGACACAAGGGGAGCCACAGGTGCCTAATTGGGAGCCAGGGCATGGGAAGGGAGTGGGTCAAGATTTTTCTCTTTTTTCCTCTCAAGACTCTTCACTCCAGTGACCTTCCTAGTCTTTCAGGGGCTATTTTAGACCCCATCCTATAGAACTAGCATGTTCCTGCCTGGTGACAAAGGGTTATCTCAACCCCTCAGTCATCCTGCCTTTTCCCCTCCTTGCCCCACCCTCTGCCCACAGTAGGATTTACCCTCTCATTCCTTGATTCCTGAACCCTGTTCTTGAGGTCAGTGGCAGGGAGAAAAGGGTGGGTCTGTTTTCTCTTCTAATTTTCAGTGTAACCAAAAATTATCCCCAGATGAGCAAGGGCACATGCCCCTCACCCCCTCACCCAATTCTACCATTTTTGCAGCAAGAATGGGATGTCTACAACTGGACCAGGGTGTCCTTTACTGCTTCCTTTTACACTTAGCTCCAAGATATAGGATAGGAGGGGATACTCTCGTCTTGGCTACTGAAGAGAACTCTTAGTTCTTAGGGCATCATTGTAGGAATAATGAGAAGGGGGCGGGGGAGATAGAGCTCCACTGGAAGTGGAGAGCTCTTTCACAAGAGCTTCTTGTCCAAGGCCACAACCATCCCACTCTCTGCTTCCTTGAGATTCAAACCAAAGGCTGTTTTTCTATGTTTAAAGAAAAAAGAAAAAAAAAGTAAAACCAAACATAACACCTCACAAGTTATAACACTTGGTCCTTTTCTCTCTCTTTCTCCTTTTCTCTTTCCCTCTCTATCTTCCCATCTTTCTTTCCACATGTTCTTTCCCTACAGGCTCTTTGCCTCCTACTTTTCTGACTCCTAATCAGGGATATTTGGGGTATGGTAAAGGATTGACTAAAAACAGACCCTAGAATTGGGTTCTTAAGGGCTCTGGGAGGAGTCTACCTTACCCTGTTCTGGGAAAGAAGACTCTCAAAATTTCTCTCCTCTTCCTTTTTCTCCCCCATTATGTGGTGTCCCCAGGTAGAACCAGATTGGCACAGAGGGGCACTGTGGGGTGATTGTTACCCCTTGACAAAGTAGCAATAATAAACAGATGCTGCCAAGGACAAAAGGATGGGGAGTTAGCCTGATAGAGAGTAGTCTCTAAAGGAGGAAAGACTTTTTTAACAATACCCCAGGGCACTAGCTTCTTGTGTCAGGGTAGCAGCAGAGTGTAGGTTAATATCTGAGGTTCTCCTAAACTGTTTTGGCTATTGTATCCCTTCCTATTAGGCCTACCCCATCACCTCTTCTGTGTCTGCTGTGTGTATTTATGTGGTGACACCTCATAAGGACTAGGGAGTTCTGGTGGCTTGGTGGTAAAGAATTGTGCTGCCAACACAAAGATACACAGTTCAAATCCACCAGCTGTTCTGTGGGAGAAGATGAGCATTCTCCTCCCATGTGATCTACTGCCTCTGAAAACCCACTGGAGGGTCAGCTATGGGTTGGTTCTGGCTGGATGATATACAATATAAGAGTAGTCCCTCCTGAGGTATCTGAGTCTTAGTGTTCCTATCCCCTCCCCCAGTCAGCTTTGGCACTTGTAACTGCCTACACCATGAAGGACTTTGCCCTGAGGCTATCTATACCTGTGCCCTTGAGAGCAGAGACTGGAAAGGCAAGACCAGGTGCTAAGGAGGGGAAAGAGGTGCACTCTGTCTCTTTCTAGACCATCACTGCACTTTAACCAGGGTCTTAGGTACAAAATCCTACTTGCTAGAGCCTTCCAGCTCTGGAACCTCAAACATCCTCATGTTCTCTAAACTCTTTTGCATAAAAAAAAGAAAGAAAAAAAAAACACCAAAAAACCCCTAACAAACCAATACTCACCGAAACCCATGGAGAAAAGAGGTGTTTTCCTTTTATACTGCTATTCAAAACTAACAACACAAAACACAATTTCTAAATAGACACTTTTCCAGAACTTTGTTTTTTCGTGTAAGTGTCCAAGCTGCAGATGGGATTTTGTAACACTTCTGGCAGCCTCTTTTCCTGTGTACATAATATATATATATATATATTTTTTTTAATCAGAAATTATGAAGAACAAAAAGGAAAAAAAATAAGAAAACACAGAAGCAAGTGCAATACCACCTCTTTTCTCCGTTTCCCAGGGTTTCCTTTGTAGCCCATGTTTGGTGACTTTGATCCTCATCCCTTTCTCACTTCCTCTGGTTCCCTCTTCCACTTTTTTTTTTAAAAAAGAGTTTTCCTCCTCTCTCTAGGGGAGTTAAACTAGCTTTTGAGACTTATTACAAAGCATTTTGTATATGTAATATATTGTAAGTAAATATTTGTGTAATGGAGATATACTACTGTTAAGTTTTGTACTGTACTGGCTGAAGGTCTGTTATAAATAAACATGAGTAATTTAACACCGTGGTTGTTTTTGTAGACTTCTTTTCCTCCTGGGAAAGAGAAACATCTCCTCCTTGCATGTTGTACCAACTACTTCAGTAGGTAAGCAAGTGTATGACTGAAGGGAAGCCAGACAAAAGTGCTCAAGTAGAACGAAGAGTTTTAGTGAAGAATGGGAAATGAAAGATACGGCCCTATCAGGAGTGCCGTCAAGATAGAACAAACAGTCCAACTTGCCTATCTATACAAAGCAGAGAGTTAGCAAACATTTGATAAGTTTGTTAACAGATTATATACTTAGAAATATACATTACAGTGACATGAGTGGTGATATAATATGGTCTACCACTTCCTGAATAGTTGCCATCAGGATCTGAGGAAGACTTATCAATAACCTGCATTATGCACCTTATACAACTTGGCTTGCTGGAAGCCAAAAGAACTGGAAACATTTGCTGCAGGAGATCAAAGGCTACAGCCTTCAATAGGGATTACATCTCAACATCAGGAAAACAAAAATTCCTACTATCGAGCCAACAGGCCCATCATTATAGTTGGAGAACAGATTGAGGGCATCAATAATTAATCTTGCTTGAATCCACAATCAACACCCTTGGTACCCAAAGTCAAGGTATCAAAACAAGTATTCCATTGGAAAAATCTGCTATCAAGAAACTCTGCAAGGTGTTATGGAGCAACGATGTCAGTTTAAAGACTAAGATGCATCTGATTCAAGCCATGGTCACTTCAGTTACTTGCTATGCATCTGAGAGCTGGGCAGTGAAAAATTATGACAAAAAAGAATCGATGCCTTTAAGTTGTGCTGTTGAGAAGAATACTGAATTTCTCATGGGCTGCCAAAAGAAGAAACAGGTCTTGTAGAAGTGCAGCCAGAATGCTCCTTGGAGGCAAGGATGGGAAAGCTTTGTCTCACATGCTCTGGGCACGTTGTTAGGAGGGGTTGCTCCACGGAAAGTGGCATCATGTTTGGAAAGGTGGAGGGGTCAGCAAAAGAAAGGAAGACTCTCAAATGAGATGGATTGACATAAACAAGGTGCCAATGGGCTCCGGTGTATAAAACAGACATGTAGAAAACTGCACAGATCTGTTGAGTCGTAGATTAACAACCAAACATCACTTACTATTTGTACCTGTATGTGAATTTAGGCAAGTTCTTTAATTTAACCTCCATGCACCTCAATTTTTTTCAGTATGTAAATTGAGGATAAGTATTATAGATCAGTTGAGCATTAAATAAATTCTTATTTATAAAGTGCTTACCACAGTGTTTCGCACTGTGCTAACTGGATCCAGGGCACAAAGATGAATGAGAGACAACGCCAGCACCAATGCACTTCTCCGTGGCCCATCACTGTGGTATTTTCTCCTTAAGGAAAGAGGAATGAACAAAATGGATTTTTTTTTTCTTCCCATCTCCCGTTTCCGAGTCCCACACTAACCAGCAGGACTGACAAGAGGAAAAAATTTCAAAGGTTTTTCCCCTGGACTGCAGCGCCTCCTTGGGATTAAAGTCTTGCGATCGTGCTTTCTCAGTTTCGCACTACAACTCCCACCAGACACTCAAGCCCCTTGGCCGCTAACAGCGAGAACTTTTTCTAGGGACTTCCGAGAAGGTCAAGAATTACATCCGGGGCAAGGCTTCGCAATGTATACTGGGATAACGCTATACCATAACCTTCCGCTAGTCTGTTAAATAGTCCCAAAGGTACATTTTTCTACGGATACATAAGTTCTCTAAACGTCTTTCCAGCTATATTTCAGTGAAAAATACTGAGTAACAAAGACAATTCAGTAAAGTGGGGTGTAACTGTTGGTATCGAGCCTAAAGTATACTTCCTGTGTGGGCGGAGGGATCTGAACTACATATAAAAGGGACGAGCGTAGAGAGTCTTCTTCTCTCGGATCCTCGCTTCCAACATGGTGAGTACTGCTGCTGAGTTGTGAGTTCTGATGGCGCGTGGTGAATGGGCGAAGGAGGGGGTGTCTGGGTAGTAACCGAAATAAAATTCTCGAGCTGTGGGAACCTCAGGACTGGAATGGGCAGATTGTAGATACATTTCTGGGTTTGGAGGAACAGAAGGTCTGAATTGTGTTGCTGGCTCGAAATGAGCCGAAATTGTACACTGTTCTCATCAACAATTCTTTTCCCACAGACGAAGAAAAGGAGAAACAACGGTCGTGCCAAAAAGGGCCGCGGCCACGTGCAGCCTATTCGCTGCACGAACTGCGCCCGGTGCGTGCCCAAAGACAAGGCAATTAAGAAGTTCGTAATTCGAAATATAGTAGAGGCAGCTGCTGTCAGGGACATTTCCGAAGCGAGTGTTTTCGACGGTAAGCTCACAGGGAGCCTAGTGCTTAACTGTCACCCAAGCCTGGGCTAGCTCCCAGTTCTGACTCGATTTGGCATGCTTCTTAAGTGCTCTTGTATAGTAATCTGCTGTGGTAGTAGAAAATGTCTGCGTTTTTGGTTTGTCGTTTGGTTACATATTTTAAGAGTCATGGAAAGAGTTAATCCTTGAAATAGAGCTTAGTGTCACTGCTGAGATTCAAGTTACGGTTTTTTTGTCTTACGTGCTTTAGGGTCAGTTTTGATCCCATGACCACTACATTATACTGTTTTGGGTTGGGTTTTTTTTTTGTTTATTTCCGTTTATTCATTGTTGCACTTTTCTCCCTTCCCAACCCTCCCCCACCCCCAGTCCATTACCCTCTTGGAAAAGTAAAATTCTTCCGTTGTTTTACAAACCCTCCCCCAGGTCCACTCTACCATGTAGCCTTCGCTCTAGACTCCTGTCATGACAAAATTACACAATTACATATCTCTTTTAAACAGTTTTCTCCCTCTTCTGTTTCATTGCAGTATAAATTATTGAACCCTTCTTTTCTCAGTCTCTCCCCAACCCCAAGGGCAGTCCTGTTTTACAACAGTGGCACCATGCAGTATTTGTCCTTTTGTGACTGAGATACTTAATTCAGCATAAGGTCCTCCAGAGTCACCCGTTTTTAAAAATAATGCATGAGTTCCTGGTTTTTCAGTGAGTGCAGTGTAGTATTCCATTGTGCGAATATACCACAACTTCTCTATCCATTTGTTTTTTGATGGGCACTTAGTTTGTTTCCAACTCATTGCTATTGTGAACAAATCCACAATAAACATGGGTGTTCATATATCTGCTTGGATGTCACTTATGGTCTCCTTAGGGTATATTCCCAGTAGTGGAATTGCTGGGTCAAATGGTATCTCTATTTGCAACTTTTTGAGAAAGCATCACACCGCCTTCCACAGTGGTTGCATCATTTTACACTCCCACCAACAGTGAACAAGGGTTCTAGGTTCTTCACAACCTTGCCAGCATTCATTGTTTGCCATTATACTGTTTCTCAGGCTGTGTTTCTTATGGAACAAATAATCAGCACTCCCCCTCCCCCCCTTGTCTGCACATTGTGAGACCAAGACATGGTTCAAGCCAAGGCTTGTGTTACTGCCCCAGTGCTTAACAAAGTGAAACCTAGTTGATTCTGGACAGCCTTTGTCCGGTTTCCATTATTGTAAATCTTTTCACATAAAAAAACCCTGCCTGTCTTAGTCCTGTGTTTTGGTGCATTCGAACTGGGAGCCAAGCCAGAGCTCCTTGGTTTCCAGTATAGGAGATGGAATTTGAGTGGAGGGCTTCTAATTTCATAGACAAGGATGAGTTTTGGGACAATGTAATGATGGTTAGTGAGTTAGTGTAAAAATTATTTAACAATTGAAATGAATGCTAAGCTTCCCATTGAGTCACTAGTGACACATAGCTAACTCTCCATCTGGTTTTCAGAGGGAGTAAATTGCATGGGAAGATTGACCACCCTCCCTCGATCCTGTGCCACTGGAAGGAACTGGAATTTTGGGTTCAATTTGAAATGTGGATTTTGCTTTTAATGATGACAAAAAAATAAAAGAGTATGTGCTATTATATAAATAGCTGATTTGCTGTGGTTTCTTTTTCCCCACCCTACGCCAGCCTATGTGCTTCCAAAGCTCTATGTGAAACTGCACTACTGTGTGAGTTGTGCCATTCACAGCAAGGTCGTGAGGAACCGTTCTCGTGAAGCCCGAAAGGACCGGACACCTCCACCTAGATTTAGACCTGCAGTGAGTATCTTAAAATGGAATATCCAGAGGGGGGTGATGGTTTGAGAAGTTGAGACCAAAACTGAATATGAAATGTGCAGGAAAATTGCAGATTTTAACAAGGAACCTGATGGGACAGAGTTGAACTACCTCAGGATTTCCTAGGCAATATGATCTACACAGAAGTAGATTGCTACATTCTTCTGGGGAGTAACTCTGGGTGCCATATTGGCTTTACCATTAATGGACAAGTAGATGACACCAGCATTTCTGTTTTTCACTTGGGGTGATTAAAGGGTTTTTTTATCCTTTTTTTTTATTATTTTTGTGTGCGTGTACCATCAAATCAGATCTGACTGGTACAGGAGGAGATTGCCCTTCCTTTTTCAGCAGAGCATCTGGTGGATTTGAACTGCATACCTCTGGGATTGCAGTGCAGCATCTTGCCAGTAGGCCACCAGAGCTCCTCTGTGATTAAAGTTTTTATCCAAGTCAACCAGCTTTCTGTGACCCAAATAGATTGTGCTGAAGAGAGTGGGGTGGAGCAGTCTTATGCCCATCATTTTTTATTTACTCTTTCAATACTTTATCTTTCAGGGTGCTGCCCCACGACCACCACCAAAGCCTATGTAAGGATTTGATTCCTTAAAAGGCTGAAGAAAAAACTCGTCTGAAAATAAAATGGAAATTACACTTTATTATTGATGTGTCTGTCGTGTTGGGTGGTATTTTTAGGGGTGTAGAAATTCACAGTTAGGCTTGACCATGACCTAAAAAATGTATTTGGAAATGGATTGATGCCGGCTGATTTTGTCTGTGAAAGTACTACCCACAGAGGATAGCATAGGAAGAGAGACTATTTCAGATTGAAGTGGAACTCCCGTTTTCTAATAATTGGTTCTAGTAAAATGACTGAGAGTATACTAGGCCATTTCTCAGGAGTAGAAACCAAACTTAGCTGATCCTTACAGCATGGGAGGAGACAGCCCATTGCCACGCTATCAGTCCATCTGGTTCTGCCTCTTCCTCTTTTGTCTGACTATCCACCTTTCCAAGCAAAATCTTGCTTGACAAAGAGCCTCCTAGCATCACTTAACCCCAAGATATGTGAGGAAGTTGCTTCATCTTTGTCTCCAAGGAGGACTTTGGCTGTACCTTCATCAAGACATTGTTTCTTTTGGAAGTACTCTTCACCAAAACCACAGTTCAAAGGCATCAATTCTGTCATCCTTACTGTATTTCTGAGTTCAGGCCTGACATCACGTTACATAGCCATCTGATGATGAAAATACTTTGAACTTTTCATCTTTTTTTTTTTTAATATTATTAAATTTTTTTAGTTTCAATGAACACTCAGGGATTCTGGGCTTTCACTCCTTCATTGCACCATTCTCTCCACCCTCCTCCCCAGTTCTTCCCCCCCCATCCAAATGTCTGTTTTAATTGTCCAATTGCCACAGTGCTTGTCAAAGCCAGTTGTGATTAATCTCCTTTGTCAGTGTGTCGTCCCTTGCCATTCCCTATCACTCCTCCCTGAGAGAGACTTCACCTTGACTCATAAGGAAAAGGGGATGGCGTATTCTCTTAGCTACTTCCTGCTGAAGAGGGACACTGGGTTTCAGGGTGAAGATCTCTCACTACTCTAAGGGGCCCCTTTGGCAGTAGGAAACACATAGACTATTATGGAGATTGATTTTGGAATTTAGATGCACTCTTATTGATTGTGCTTAGCCGTACATGTTCATATCCTTGAGGATGTATCATGAGGGTGTTGCAACCTTGCTCCTGCCAGGTTAGTTCCGGGTGATGTCTGGATCCAAGGTGGTGCCCTGAGATCACAGGGCTGTGGTGGGGGTTGAGATGTGTGGTTGTGGAGCTGCAAGGGGGGTGGGGGAAGGGGAGGAAAGCAAGGGACTAAGGGGCAAGGAGCGCAGGGGTTGGACACTCACCAAGAGGTGGGGACGGGGCTTGGGCGCTGCTGGGGGTTTATGCAGCAGCACCCTGTGTGTTAAGGGTCACACAGGTGTGGGTTGCAGGGGGGTCACACAGTGTCTGGTAGTCTTCGTTTCTCTGGGGTCTCACAGTCTTCGCTCCTCTGGAGTTCCGCAGTAGGTGGCTGGCTGTTCTTCCCTGGTCTCTTCCAGGTCCCTCTCGCCGCGTTTGGCAGTGGCGTTTGGCAGTGGCGTTCGCCCGTCTGGCAGCCTTGCCCTCGTGCTGCGTCCTGAACTTTTCATCTCTTGTTACTGCTCTTGAAGGTTATCTTTTATGTGTTAAACTGTATCTTAGCTCTTTATATTAGTGCTCTTATCATTACTAAGGTGTGCCTGATCCAAGCCATGGTCTTACCAATTACATGCTATGCATTAGAAAGCTGAACAATAAGTCTTTGAGCTGTGGAGCTGGAGTAAAGTACTGACTAGACCATCCATGGATCACTAGGAGAACAAACTAGTCCTCCTGGAGAGGGTGAAACCAGTGTGCTCCTTCGAGGCAAGGATTCTGAAGCTCCTTTTAACATACTTTGGGCATGTTACAAAGAGGGACAAGTCCTTGGAGAGGGACATGATGCTTGGGAGGGTGGAAGAGCACAAGAGAGGAAGAAGACCTTTGATGAGATGGATTGTGTGAGGCTATGCAGATGACATGAGACCCTGCAAACCTAAATAAGGGAGCTGGTTTTTGCCATTCTACTAGGCATAAAGGTGGTATCTGCATCATGCAAGTTGATCAATCTTGACACAAGAAGTCCCTTCTCCAGAATGGTCTGTTTCCTGTACAGTTTAAAGCTACAAAGAGGATGCATACCCTTTTCCTATTATTGAACTGTGCAATATTTACTTGCTCTGTCTGAAGGACTGCTTCCTGATCCACATGGAGGTTGGGTTTGTTGTTTTTGTTTTAATTTTTAACTATGTACGGTCAAGTCGGATCCTATGGGCACAGGAGGAGATTGCCTGTCCAGCTGAGCATCTAGTGGATTTGAACCATATGCCTTTGGGTGTGCAGTGCAGCTTCTTGCCAGTAGGCCACCAGAGCTCCCTTCACGTATAGGTTTTGCATGAGCATGATCACCATTTCTGGTACTCCCATTCTTAAACTTGGCTACAATTGTGATTCACACAAAAGCTTTTGCATATTAAACTGAGGACTAATTGAAGTGTTGGCTGAAGAAAGTCAAGGACTATAGTCATCAATGTGGATTGAAGCTCAACATCAAGATAAATTCTCTTCACTGGGCCAGTTGATGGAGAAGAGGCTGAAGTTAATTTCAGCTTGGCCCCGCTCAGCAGTCATTCCTGGCACCGCAGTCAGGAAATCAAAAGACAAAAATGCATTGTCCGGGACTTCTCCAAAATGCTAAAGAGCAATGACATCAGTATAGAGACTAAAGTGCCAGATCCTGGTGTGGTCTTCACAATTACTTGGTATACATCAGAAAGCTGGACAAGGACTAAGGATGACAGAAGAAACAATGCTTTGTGGAGAAGACTAGTGAACCTACCATGAACCACCAAGAGAACAAGCTTCTCGAATTTGTGGAAAGGGTGAAACTAGATTTCTCCTTGCAAGCAAGGATGTTGAAGCTTTGTCTCATACTTTGGGCACTTGGCCAGGAGGGACCAGTCCTTAGAGAAGAACATCATGCTTGGAAAGCTAAGAGGGATCCTTCCAAGGGTACCAGGAGAGAAAGACCCTGAATGAGGTGGGTTGACTGTAACTGGGGTTGAGTGTGTTGGCATTAATGAGACTGTCTAAAGATAGGACAAAATCCAGCCCTATTGTACACAGGGCTGCTATGAGCCACAGACAACACGACTTAAAAGCCAATCCCAGGGGAGCTCTGGTGGCCTAGTGGCAAGGAGCTGCAACTACAACCCCAGAAGCGAACGGTTCAAATCCAACAGATGCTCTGCCGGGGAAGGAGGGACAATCTCCTCCTGTACCAGTCAGATCTGATTTGACGGTACACGCACACAAAAATAATATTTTTTAAAAAAAAGCCAATCCCAGAGGAGAGGTTTCATGACACATGAGAAGCCGAATCAAGAGTGCCTTTTTTCCCCCTGCGAAATAATTTTTTTTAGTACTACATTAGGAATAAAAATAAATTGTGAGCAAGCAACTTCATAAATGTTATAAAGTAATGGAAGAACCCATTGAAGAAGGTTAAATGGCGCTTATTGTGTCATTTACATATCAATGAGACGTTTAAAACCAAAGATGATGGAGCATTGCTACTTCTGACCTCTTATCTAGAGAGAATGAAAAGAAAGAAGATGGATACAAACTCAAGTTTATAAAAATCAAGCCTTTAAAACTTAATCATGGTAGAACTAATTCTCTTGCTGGATGGTTTCCTTGAGGGGAGAGAGTTGTGGTTTTTCTTATTCAGTATTAGGGGTTTTTTTTTTTTCATTTTTTTAAATTTTAGTAATTTTAATGAACATTTACAGAGATTTTGGATTTCCATTCATTCATTGCTTCACTTCTCTCCCTGCCCAGCCACCCCCTCCCCCCCCCCCCGTTCGCTCCTCTCTGAAAAGTAAAACTCCCTCCTTGGTACACAATCCCCCCGCACCCCTCCCACCGTCCCAAGTACATTCCACTATGCAACCTTAATTGTGGACTCTTGTGACAACCATAATATCATACATCGTTTTTAAATTATTCTCTCATCTGTTTCAGTGCAGTATAAACAATTTATTCCGCTTTTCTCAGTGTTACCCCAACCCTGATATCAGTCCCATTTTACAGCAGTGGCACCATGCAGTATTTGTCCTTTTGCAACTGAGATATTTTACTCAGCATAATGTGTTAGTTTTCTTAAGTTTTGATCTATCACGTTATGTGCTGTCAAGTCACCTGAGACTCATTGTGATCCTATGCACAACAGCTCTGAAGCCTGCCCTGTCCTGGGCTAGTCTTACTGACTGACACACCTGTCCCTCGTACGTAACCCCACTTACTGTATGAATCCATCTCATCTGGGGTCTTCCTTTCCTGCTCTAGCCCTCTTTCCTTCCAAACATGATGTCATGTGCCCAAGTATGTAAGATGGAGCTTCAAAATCCTAGCCTCCAAGGAGAAACTTGGTTTCACCTTCTCTGAGACAGACATTTGTTTTCTTGACAGTATGTTCAAGACTTATCCAGCACCATACTTTTCCACTTTTCACAAGTCTGGCTTATCGCTGATCTTGTCCAAAGGCTGAGACTGATACTGCCTCTCACCGAGATATTCAGAGTATATATTTTTGGTCCAGTCCCCTTGTGCTGAAAACCTCCTTGACCCAGAAGGCAGAGGGGGAGCTCTTTCTGAGAACAAGTAGCTAGAGACACTAAGAAATGGCTGCAGAGAAATGGGATCAGCATAACCAGGAGACAATTTGGGGAACTTTGCAGCTCACAGAGCAAGAAAACTGACTGCCTTTGGGCAAGAGGCTTATTGGTGGTATAGGATATCTTCGAGTACTCATTCACAGAACTAAAGAGCTATCTGCTCAAACTGGGAAGAAACCTGAGGGCACAACTAAGGGTGAAAGCTTTACTCAGTCTACATTAAGGTAGATTCGCTTTCCCCCCACATCTTTGCATTCCTCTGCTCATTTTTTAAAATTATAATTAATTTTAATAGACATTTACAGAGGTTTTGAATTTCCATTCATTCATTGCAGCACTTTTATCCCTGCCCACCCC